TCAAGCCTTTATTTGTTATAATTGTGATGATTATAGCTTACATGAAAACCTTTTCACAATATTCTAATTTTGAATGTGGAGTTTTCATAAGCTGTAAGCCATGATCATCAATATTATAACAAATAAAGGCTTGAAATATCTCACTTTGCATGTAATGAGTCTATATAATATATTAGTTTCACCTTTTAAGTTGAATTACTGAAATAAATGAAATTTTGCACGATATTCAAATTTCCAGTTTCACCTGTAGATCAGAGAATCTGAAGAACCAATGAGGGACAGTTAAGCTTAAGAGAGCGGAACCTCATTGGTTGAGGCAGATTAAAACGAACCAATCAGGAGGAGTCAGTGCTGTCTTCATATTCTCTGGTGCAGAAACACGGGAAGAGCCGCAGCTGAATGTTGTTCTCTTCTTCTTCTTTATGCAGTGAGAGATGGACAGAAAGAAGGTCTCATGAAAACATCACAACCCTTCATGAGCCGCTGAAACAGTGTCGAGAAGGACCCGAGGGTTTGCTTCAGGTGATTTTAGTTTCACAAACTGGATTGATGAGCCACTGTGACACAGCTTCGTGTGCTTTTAGTGTCATCAAAACAACAAACCATTTTTTCTAACTTCATGGGGCAAAATGCCACCCAAAAATCAAGATATATGAGGCAAAAATGTCCCTGAATGAGTTCTTGTTTTTAATATTTATAACAAGATATGCAGTGATGTTTTCCCGAATATCAGCACAATTGCAAATGTGATGACCTTAATCAAGTTTAATAAACAAGACGTTCATGTTAAAGTCCCCCTGTAGTAAAAACCCAGCTTTTAAATGTTGTTTATGTGTCTATGTGGTGTTTTTAATATGCTTTAAGACACACCATGTGTAAGTTCATAAGTCGACAGCATTGCTGAGTATTTTCTGCTTAAAACTGCAGTGAACCAAAGACAGTCTCAAAAACACGGTTTGAAATCGCTGGTGTTTCTGACGTCACAAACGACCTTGTAACCAATCAGATCAACGTGTGATCGTCAACCAGTGGATCTCTGAGCTGAGTGAGTGACTGGAGGCGGGGCTCATTCGCATATTCATAGAACCGCACATACTAAATGAGGCAAGGGTGTCGAGTTACATTCAAGATATTTTAAGGCATGAAGACATTTTTTTCAAGGAAAAAAAAACACCCAAATATGTCATTTTGGTGATCAAAGATGAGTTTTAAGGGATACAATGATTGACTACAGGGGGACTTTAATGTCAGAACCTTGTCTGTTTTTGCTTTATTTTGCAAGAAATCCAAAGTAGAGCCATTACGCATCTCCGAGCACCTGAATGAGTCCGCGATATATTGAGAGTCCATGATAAATCAGCCACCATATCGGTATCGGACGATATATGTTAATTTTTACTGTTATCGTCATCGCCTTGATAAGAAAATGTGGCCGATATATTAAAGCCAATAAATAATGGAGTATTTCCTTCAGCTGAGACACTTCAGATGCGCACTGTTCAACATGATGGTTTTGAATTGCTTGAAATATGATTGGAATCATTTCAAAAAGGAGAATACAGTAAATGCACAGCATAAAATCTGTCAATAAATTAATAATTTGAACATTATAATTGTGTGTTTTAGGACATGGCTCTCAAAATTATATAAAAATTTAGATGTATCAGCCAATATATCGGTTATCGGCTTTCAAATATAAAGAATTATCGGTTATCGGCCAAAATTTGAATATCGGTGCATCCTTAATGCATTTTTTTCCCCATGGTTTCATGTGGGCGTCCAACTGTTTGTTTGAAACGGGCCTCCAAATTGCAAATCCCTGGTCATGAGGACAGTCAAATGACTCGAATAATTTCCCAGATATTTACTGAGAGTTTCTGCTGCTATAGAAACTCAATAATCATGTTAATCTGTTAAACTCCATTACACACACTGATTCTAGTCATCGAACTCATTTGACCTGATGAATGACAGACAGCCGTGTGGACCTGCAGATGTTTAATGACTGCACATGCTCACAGTGAACTGCTGATGTGTTGATGTGTCAGTTACACACATTAACTAATAATAATATCATTATTATCCTCCCGCTGCAGCCGCTGAAGAGCCGAGACACAGATCTGACTGTAAAACCTAGGGTTGTTAAGGTGCAAATGAGCAACATTAATGGAACTTTGTCTTTAATAATGTTCTAAAACGTTAACACAAAACAGGGTTTCTGCTGGTTTTATGAAGTTTAATGTAAGGCCTTTTTAAGACCAGGTAAAGAAAATTTAAGGAATAAATGGAAGGGAACACAATACACCAATATGCAACTTCCAATTGACATCCATCGCTTTTCAATTAATTTTTAACACAAAAAAGTAGCTTGTATCGCTCTGCTGCCAAACACTAAAATATGGAAATAATTTTTACTGTACCTTCTGATTGCAGTGCAAAAAAGTGATGATTTTTGTCTTGTTTTTTTTTTTTCAGCGCAATTGTCTAAAGATGCTTAAATCAAGATACATTTACTTGAGATGCAAAAAAAAAATACTTAAAATATGAATTCTGAGAAAAATACCAAAATTAACAGAATTTATGATCAAAGAAAAATAATGATTAATTCAATTAGGCCGTGAGACAGAGGGTTGATTGGTACCATTTTGAGGGATTAAACCGCATGGTGATTTTTGTGTAGGTATATGACCCTGTATTTGAAAAATGTGTGATAGCATTAGATTCAAGGTAGTTTTTGGTTACGGAGGACGATTTTCAAACATATGTCAAGAAAAAGGATAAATTAATTTATCTTTAAATAATTTTATACATTTTTATAATAAAAAAATTATAATTTTTTTAAATAAATTTTTTAAATTATAAAAGGATACATTTTTCTCTCTTGTAGTCACTGAACACCTTACCTTGAGGTAGGATGATATAAGTGTTGATTTCTAATGAAAGCTACCATGGATCGGATGCTATCACGCATTTTCCAACACTAGAGATGTGTACCTTCATGAAAATCAAAAAGAAATGTAATCCCTCAAAATGGTACCGGAAGCCCAAATTTGGGGTCCCGTCTCATGGCCTAAAAGGGACGTTTTCATAACTCACCGACAGATATTTGTTCTTGTATTACGGATAACCTCACTAATGTTATTTAGCTTCATTTTGCATCTCATGTAAATCTTGATTTAAAGATGATTAGACATATTGGAAAACAGGACAAAAATACTGAGGAACAACATCATTTTTGCAATGCATGCAACGTTTAATGTCACGACTTTATGAATTTAAGAATTTCTGCTCTGATTTAAGACTTTTTAAGGCCTTAAGTTGTGTAAGAGTGAATTAAGACTTTAAAAACCCGCAGAAACCTTGCAAAAACATTATTTATACATTGTTAATGGAACGTTTTTTCTGAAACGCTTTAGTTCATCGAACGTTTTTTAAATGTTACTAGTTTCAGAGAACATTCAAAAGTAATATTCCATAATGTTTGCGGAATGATAAAATGCAATGTTCCCTTAACATTTTAAAACCAGATGTTTTCAGAGAACATTCAGAATTAATGTTTCGTAACTTAATGTTAACAAATCATTCTTAGAACGTATTTTTGTTGGATGGGAACTAGTTAGTAAAGCCTCCGATCAGGAATAAAACGAGCAGACGGATGAAATGACGTCATGAGATCATGTTTATCTGACTTCAGCATCACGATGATGATGATGATGATGATGGTGACATTTACACTTGTTTACTTGTTATCCTTTAAATTACGTGAATAACTGACTGGATTGTAGCGCAGATGAAACCCAATCAACACATAAATTGCATTTAGAAAATATTAAAACAAATTAAATTAATTTAATTTGTTGTATTAGTAATTGCCCATTGTTAATTTTAGATACAGTTCCTTTACAGGTGAAACTGGAAAAATTAGAATATGGTGCAAAAGTTAATTTATTTCAGTAATTCAACTTAAAAGGTGAAACTAATATAATATATAGACTCATTACATGCAAAGTGAGATATTTCAAGCCTTTATTTGTTATAATTGTGATGATTATGGTTGACAGCTTATGAAAACCTTTTCAGAATATTCTAATTTTGAATTTGGGGTTTTCATAAGCTGTAATCCATAATCATCAAAATTATAACAAATAAAGGCTTGAAATATCTCACTTTGCATGTAATGAGTCTATATAATATATTAGTTTCACCTTTTAAGTTGAATTACTGAAATAAATGAACTTTTGCACAAATTTTTCCAGTTTCACCTGTATAATATTTACATATTCAAAAATATGAATTTTTATTTTGTTTTATTTTATTTCTATTTTGCGTCGTTTTCAATGGAAAGGTAATTTATCATCGCTGACGGCTGAGCAAAAACTGCAACGAGATGAAACTACAGGCGTCTTATTGGATCAGTAGCGGTGAAAAAAATCAGCTTTTTTCACACTCACTGGTTATTATTACGCTACTGTACCGAACACAGCTGGTGAAACCCTGCGCGTCACGTGATGATCGTGTGTCTGGATCAGGGCTGCAGTCAATCTATAACACTGACATTGATCAAAGCATCTCACAATCATCTAACCAAACCCAGAACTACAACAAATGCACAGACAGACTACAGGTCATGTGACTAGCTAAGCGGTTAACCCAGCAGGCGGTCCTTTAGTCTCTAGTAAACCCTGCTTCTGTACACATAAATAATAAACGACACGTGGTCCATGTCCTCAGTGTCATGCACACGTCAGTTCAGCTCTTCATTCATCCATTCATTCAGTGTTTCAGTTCATGTCGTGTTTATCGTATGTCAGAACAGACGAGGGAAAACGCCCTAAAAACAATTCGACAAGCAAATAAATTGAACGAAACAGCCCGTGTCGTTCATTGGCTCTTCCTTGTGTTTGCCGTGGTCTAGGCGTCCCGCCGTCAGTGACATCATTATTCTTTACATCCAGAGAGTGTGTGTGTGCGTGCGTGTGTCAGTTTCCTTGTTTGGTTTACAGATGAGGACAGAAACGTGAGTAGAGGAGCCGAGATGGAGACGCTCCGGCTCAGAGATGTGAGGAGGTGGAGAAGCACAGCTTCAGCGTGTACGGGTTCGAACCATCTGAAAATCAACAAAACCACAGATTACTGACACAGTTAAAGCATCAAGAGAAACGTCATGCTTAATCTCAGATCCTCAATCTACTCCACACACGATCAAACTGTGAACTGTGGTTTTTAGGCTCTACTAGAACTTGAATGTTGATTATTTTCCTCATATTCTCCATTGTTGCGGCTCCTTTCTTCCCAGTCTGTTAGTAACGCTCTGTTTACTTCCTGTCTCTATGAAGCCCCTCCTTCTGAAAAGCACACTGTGCTCTGATTGGTCGGCTGGATCAGTGTGTTGTGATTGGTCGGGCGCTTCGAGTGTGTTTGGGAAATGTCCAATAACCGCCAGTTTAACACACTACTGACTAACTCAACCAGGCCCCGCCCCTTTATTCTGCGTATGAATTATTATAATGAGGAATATTGTGACGTGTTCGTTCCCGGAAGAAATGTAAAATGTTCAAATATATTTAATAGGAGACCGAGATCTATCAGTGACCGTTAGATTCCCACATATACGAATGGGACACTTTATCATGTTTTCTGGACGAATGTTTTATTTTTTGTTTTTTTTTAAATGCCGCAGTGAAGTTGTGGCAACCATCACCCAATGAGTTATTTTGCTGATGCCATAATTAATTAAAAAAAATTATCTTTATATTAAGTAAATATATACAACACTAAATATCTGTATTTCTGGGTTCCCAGTCTTTTTTATTATTTTTTTATTTTTTTCTTATGCTAATATTCAGCCATGGACTTGAATTATGTGCCATAACACATATGAAGTGTTGACGTGAGTTGATTTCTGACTCTGATCACGCTGAGTGACCGAACAGAGGCTGATGGGTAAACAGAGAGAGTGTTTGCTTACTGGGTATCCGGATCTGATAGTGATTGAGAACCGTCAGAACCTCCACGGCGTGAGTTTTACTGTCGAACTCCAGCAAGCCAGAGATGGTCTTTGAACTGGCTGTGGATTCAAACGGCACAGTTTCAAAGCAGCTTCACCGTAATAAAAAACAATAACTACATTAATGTTGCAAAATTCATCAATGGACCCGTTTCACAGCCAATTATTAACGTCGTAAAACCAGCTAACAAAAATATCTCCTAAGAGGTTATGACAACATTATTTCGGAATGTTCAAAACGTTCAAAGTTTAAAAACGTGAACATTCCATGACATCATCTTGCGTTCAGATGTTACATTCAAAAGTAACATTCCAAAAATGTGAGTAAAATGATCAAATGGAATGTTGCCTTAAGGTTCGTATAACCAAGAAAAAACGTTTCAAAATCTGGACATTTATGAAACAGTGTCAATGGTCAATGAAAACTCAAACATTAATCATAAATCAATGGTTAATGAAAACTCAAACATTAATCATAAATCAATGGTTAATGAAAACTCAAACATTAATCATAAATCAATGGTTAATGAAAACTCAAACATTAATCATAAATCAATGGTTAATGAAAACTCAAACATTAATCATAAATCAATGGTTAATGAAAACTCAAACATTAATCATAAATCAATGGTTAATGAAAACTCAAACATTAATCATAAATCAATGGTTAATGAAAACTCAAACATTAATCATAAATCAATGGTTAATGAAAACTCAAACATTAATCATAAATCAATGGTTAATGAAAACTCAAGACTCACGTTTGGCGTCAAACACTTTGTATTTGATGAATCCTGGGACGTCGTGTTCTGTGCATAACTGCAAAACAACAGAAGAAAATCAGTGTGTTACAGTAGAACAGACACTGGCGAAGCTTCGAATGCTAGTTATGAATACTGTAATCTTACCCTAACAGGAAAAACTAAAAAACAATGTTTACTTTATTTTATACCACTGTTACAAATGAGGATGTCCTTTTTTCTGTCAGATTTAACTCACTTCTGGGGACAATTTGTCTGCAAAATTGGGTAAAATCACCTGAAACTTTCAGATAATGAATCAGTGTTAATTTTGTCAGCAAATTTTGATTTAGTTTTAGTCTTAGTCTTTTGACTAAAATGCCATTTAGTTTTAGTCATATTTTAGTCATCTGAATTGTTTTAGTTTTAGTCTAGTTTTAGTCGACGAAATACAATAACATTTTAGTCGACTAAATCTACAGTAGATTTAGTCGACTAAAATATAATGGGTTTAGTTCAATTGTAATGCGTTAATTTAGAATTTCTCTAAAATTTCCAAACCCATATACTCCCGGAGAAAACATCTATTAACCTGTTAATATGAATGATTTTTAAGTTTGAACATGCAATACAGATACAGATTTAACTGCTGTTACTTAAAAAATATCTTAAAATGAAATAAAACCACTTTTCCTAAAGTACAACACAGTCTTCTTTACAATGAATGATATATTCATTCCTTATAACTACTTACACATCATTCTTTATTCTTTCAAGCAGACATATTTATTTGTATGAATTAAATATAATTAATCCTTATTAAAGCTATTAACAAACAGTGAATGCTTTTCTCTTTTTCTTTTGTTGCTTGATCAAAATTAAGGACACGGACTGCATTAGATTTATTGCCACTGTCACTTTAAGACGTCGGATCATGTCCAATGACATGCGGATACAATTGCACTGATGCACATCCGACACACTCACAGTTTAAGACATAACCAGCATAGTTTACATGAATACTCTCCAAAAAGGACATTTAGACATACTGTTGTGTATTTCTCCATTCAGACACGAAAGAGAGCTCAATCCAGTACTCGCGCGCTGTAGGTGTATTGTGCATGACTGCACGCTTCGGGTTAGGTGTGTGCGCACAGAAAACCGCACCGAATAGAGCTCTTTTTTGCATCGTCACTCTTATTCAGAGATCTATATGTCTGCTCTACTCATTCTCCCAGACGTTCACATTTTTTAACGTTTTATGACCGCGGGGTAGATCACGTTACAGTAGCCTACAAATGTGCGCATCTGCCACACACGCAGGACATCAGTTCTGACGGATCGCTTCCCAAATCGTCACTATCTAACATTTTCGTCTAGTTTTTATTCGTTAACGAAAATGTCAATAGATTTTCGTCATAGTCTTTGTCATTCAAAACTAGGTTTTATTTAGTTATCGTCTCGTTTTCGTCTGTGAAAAAATGTCGTTGACGAATAATTTTCGTCGTTATTTTCGTCAACGAAATTAACACTGTAATGAATTAATATAGAAACTGATGAAGTCATGGTTGTTTACGCTCTGATTAATTCATTTCTGCCACATAAGAAAAAAATTAATTCTTGCTTTGGTTAATCATACTTATGAGATTAAAGGTCGAAATTATGACTTAAATAGTTTAAAATTGACATATTAACTAGAAATAAAAAAATTAAATTTCTTAAAAAGTCATAATTAAAGGGGTGGTATAATGCCCCTTTTTACAAGATGTGAAATAAGTCTCTGATGTCCCCAGAGTGTGTGTGGAGTTTCAGCTCAAAATACCCCACAGATATTTTTTACAGCATGTTCAAATTGTCACTTTTTGACGGTCAGTAAAAACGTGTTGTTTCGTGTGTGTCCCTTTAAATGCAAATGAGCTGCTGCTCCCGGCACAGAGGGCGGAGCTTCAAGAGCTTGTGTGTGTGTGACCCACCCGCTGCAAGTCCTCTTCGCTGACGCAGGGCGGGACGTTGTAGAAGTGGAGGACGCAGGACGGAGGCTGTGTGTGTGTGTGAGTGTGCGTGCGTGTGTGTGAGTGTGCGTGTGTGTGTGAGTGTGTGTGTGTGACCCACCCGCTGCAGGTCCTCTTCGCTGACGCAGGGCGGGACGTTGTAGAAGTGGAGGACGCAGGACGGAGGCTGTGTGTGTGTGTGAGTGTGCGTGTGTGAGTGTGCGTGTGTGTGTGAGTGTGTGTGTGTGTGTGTGTGACCCACCCGCTGCAGGTCCTCTTCGCTGACGCAGGGCGGGACGTTGTAGAAGTGGAGGACGCAGGACGGAGGCTGGATGATGTTCTTGGACGCCTGGCCGGCGCTGGTGAAGCGGTTGTT